GATGCTACTTTTATTTAACACAAGACTCCGCTTTATTTGACCTTGATGATGATTTTTTATGTACGCACTCAGATGGCGAGGGCATATTAGTTTAAATAAGTTTTTGGTATGTTTTTATTTCAGATTTTGAAAGTGATTAATTTTTTCCAACTGCAACAAATAACAATGTACTTAATTTTATTTGAATCTTGTTGAAACAGGTTGTGTTTTTGTGACATGGAATCAGATTCAGCTTCTGATCGCGATGAGGACTCTAAACAAAGAGGTTTGACTACAAAGGCAACAACTAATAAAGTGAAACTTGTAGTAACTTACAATAAAACAGTTGTCCCAGTTGGAAAGGAAGCCACAAAACTATCTACATTTTAGGATTTGGTTGCAAGAACAATGATTACCATAACCTATTAGTCTTGGTAGGAAGTTTGTGATGAAGTAAGGGAAGGGTTATGGCAATATGTTTTGGTAAGTCTATCTTTCTTCCTATTATTACCTTTGTTTAGATCTGTTTTTGTCCTTGTATTTGTCCCTATTTTTTTAACCAAGTTATATTATCCACTATTTCTGTTTTTATCCCTATCCATATCTATTTTTGTCCCTGGTTATGGACAACCCTTTTTTATGTTTCAGGAAAAGTTTGTAGTTGACCCAAAGAGCCGGAAGCAAACTGTCCAATCGATCGGGAAGAAGTGGAGAACCTTCAAACATTATCTATATGCCAAGTTCATTAAGAACCAAAGTAAAGATCCCAAGGAAGATCTATTCAAACCTTTGAAAGATTATCCATTTATAAAGAAAGAAGACCGGAAAGTTTTTGTATCCTATAGAGTTAAAAAAAGTGGGAGGTTTGTTAAACTTTTCTTATATGCATTTTTATCCCACATAATTACAAAAAAGTGGAAAGTTAAAAGTTTATAGTTACGATTTTAATGTTTTTAATGCAGGAGAAAAGTACAAACGCAAAAAATACCCATGCACATCATAAATACAATCATCATTTAAGCGGAAAAGGATATGTCGGACTCATTAATGACATTGTATGATTCCCACTAAGTATTGATTATTTTATTTTGTATATATTTATGTTAATTGACTTTGTTATTCTTGATAATTCAGATGCAATAAATCGGCAAGACAGAAGAGGAGATTGATAGGACACTGTTGTGGAAAAAAGGAAGAGAGTTGAAGACAAGAGGATACGAATCAGATGTCAAGATGATTGTTGATAAAATTGTAAGTTTCATTGAATGCCAAATATATTTTAAAAAAATAACATTTGTCCCATTTCTTTTTTCTAACATTTTCCCAATTTTTTACAGGATGAGCTGCAGAAATTGGGAAGCTTTGGAGAGGTTACACGTGGAACACATGATGTGCTTACATAGGCCTTGGGTACTGTGACAACTGCCAATTCAGGTCATTCTTGGACTCATGCATCTTTATAATAACCATTCATGCACAACATGCCATGACCTAGTAGTATAAATTAGGTCAAAAATCTTGCATAAACTAGGATCCAGCTAAGGTCTAGGACTAATATACTTGATACTTACAATTCTAGTAAGATGCTTAGCTACAATAGGAAATGCCAATACTATAATTAGAATAAAGTTTCAAGCTTTGTTATAATTGAAATAGGGTATAAAACTCTAAAAATAAATTAAAACATTCTAATTATACTTTAACATGTTGTTGAATATCAAACAATATTCCAAAAACCCTAAAGAGCCAAAAATCCAAAGTTATAAATTATAAAGCTTAAAAACTTTATAAAATTTGGCTATAAACTTCCTAATATCAAATTTTATTAATCAAATTATGGATTATACCAATGAACTAGAAATATAAATTACAAGTATTAATCATAAATTATTTGTTGAAAACAAGATTTTTAAATAAATCAAATTGCTTAATAAACATTTTATAAAAATGAATGTTTTTATATAAAATATAGGAGGGAAGTTTATAAAGTTTAAAATTTAGGAGAGAGGAGGCCAAAATGCATGCAAAAACCTGCCATCACCTCTCCCCATGCCCTCTCTCTTCCCCAAAACACAATCATTAAGCTTAAACCCTTATTCCACCTCTTCCCTCTTCACTCTCTCACTTCACTCTCTTCACACACTTCACTCTCTTCTTCCCTCTCTCTAAACTCACGAAAATCCTCTCATTTCTCTGCAAAATTTCGAGATTGTGAAGCCCTTGAAGTGTTCTTACTTCTCTCAAGGTCAAAACCAAGGTAAACAACAACATCTTCTTCCATAGTTTCATGGTTAAACCTCTTTTTCTTCTTAGTCTTCTCTACTTTTCGGATTCTATGCCTTTCCATGGCTAGAAATCTTTATTCTCCCCTTGTGGTTTGTAGATTCTCACCATAACACAATGCATGTGTTAGAGATGGTGAAAATCCGGGATCAAACCCATGCAAGGAGTGGAAAAGATGCACATATGATCATGTGACATCAAAACCTAATATTTCATGTTCTTCTCCATTTCTTTTGTGTTCATGCATGAAAAAAAAGCATTTAAACCATTTCTAGTACATCTTGTATGCTTATTCATTCCATGCATGTGTTAGAAATCGGGCCTTACCAAAGACATGCATGATGTTCTTGTTGAAATACCCTAATAATGCACACAAGCAAACATGCAATCTGCCAGATTACTTTGTTCGACTTTGAACAGTCATAACTCAGTCATTTATTAACCAAATCATGATATTCTTTTTGTATTGGTTAGTTCCACGAGTTAACTTTGAAACCCAACTGGTCTCACTGTAAAATATTAAATATCCGATTTTTAGCAGATTTTACAAAAAGGTTGCGCATACAGCTCTTTTTCTGTGATCACTATTTTTATCTTGCTTAAACAATGGCCTTAAACCCAACCATAAATCTGAGGAAAAATACCTTAGAAACTTAACATATCTAGTGAATTATGGTTGAAATTTCGTGGCTTAAAACCTCACTGAATGGGCTACACAAATTCATGAACTTCAGCCACATTTACACTTCATGCATTATTGCATGCAACCCTTTTTTAAATTGTTTGAAATCATTACCCTCATTTCTCTTCTGAATACATTTTTTTACATTTTTCCTTTTGAAAGCCCTTGCATGCATGAGATAATCTGGAAAATTTCAAGAGCTTTTGTTATTTCTTTGATTTATTAGAATTATTGCTAAAACCAAGGGTATAAATCATATAAAATACTTCCAGAGGTCAATAAATCCTAAATAAATTCATGGATGATCCTTATGGGGAATAATGACCCCTCACCAAATTTCAGAAATTTTTGTTACTGTTTCATATGATTTCTAATTTTCTTTTATTTAGGACATGATAAATTACAAAACCACTTTATAGGATGTGAAAATTGTATCTAACAATTTTCGCATACCTTACCTGTGATGGGTGACTCCAAAAAATAATTTCAAGATTTTCCATCATGTTTTACTATTTAAATATACATAAATACCCAAAACCAGTTTATACATTATGAAAACCACTTTTGATATTTTTCCCAGGATATTTATACTGTAAATGATGTTACAAAAATTTATGGTGATTTATTTTAACTATTTAATATTATTTCTTTAATTAATAACTATTTAAAGGAATAAAGCAAGGAAAAATAGAAATACCCACTGAAAAATATCTTTTATATTTTTCCCAGCCTATTTATGTATAATAACAATTAAATAAAAAGTTTGGATAATTTTGGAAACTGTTTTCTATTTATTTCAATTTTTATTGAAATAAATGCTCAAAAATCATAAAATATAATTAAACAGCTTGGAAATCCGTTTTTATAATTTTCCCAGCTTAGTATTGTGTAATAACAGTTAAATAAAAAGTTTGAGAATTTTTATCCCTCGAATGCTATTTTCGTGAATTTATGTTGTAATAAGGACTTAAAAATTTGGAAAGTTTATATTCCAAGGTTGTAATTAATCGCCCGATATATAAAATTTCATTACTTCAGAAAAAGTGTTACTAATTGATATAAAATCCAATACTAAAACATAAATTGGCATTTCCCTATATGTAGAGTTTAGTATATTAGCATTAGATATCGACATGGAAACTCACTAGTGTGTGTGTTTGATGTCGTAGGATCCCGGTAGTAAGACGTTGGTGCATCCCGAAGTACCGCTTGTGTCTACACAAAACATCGTGAGTATTCACGCACTCCCCTATTTTCGGTTTTTATGTTTTGGGGTGGAAAAGCATGTCCAGAAAAACTACTGTTTGCATGTTGTATTTAAATTGAATTGTATCAAACATGATTGCTATTGTATTGCTATGTTTCTTTATGTATGTCTATGCAACACGGAACATGAGAACTTATCGTACTAAGGCCCTTCCCTTATCTCTAACCATTAACTCTTTGAGCCAATGGTCGTTATGGATAGCGCTATTAGGAATTGACAACTCCTCACTCGCCCGAATCGCTGGAGTGCATGATACCATATTCATCTATGGAACGATAAGCATAGATCTCGATAGGGCTTCAGTCATAGGTTTGGTTGAGACTCATTGTTCGCTCATACACATACAAACTCGTTTCTCGTTATAGCAATAAAGTTGTATTCATTAATAGCAATCAACTTGTTTATCATTGAAGCAATGTACTTGTATTTACGAAAAGCCTTATTGTACGCTCGATTTTTATAAACTTGTGATACTCACCAACTATTTTCATAGTTGACGCTCGTTTTACATGCTTTTTCAGGAAGTAATTAGTAAGTGGATGTAAAGATTCATCATCATAGAGCATGCTGCATCGTGTTGAAGCTATTATGAAGCTATATTTTGAACAATGTTATTTTGAAAAACTTGTATTTTGTTTCTTTTGAAGCTATGGGTTGTAAACTTTTAAATACTGCTATGGTGATGTATCTTTATCTTTTGCATTGAAACCGTTATCGCTGTCATACCTTGCGTTTCCGCTTTAGCGGGGTGTGACAGGTACTCAGGAACAACGTGGGCGTGTATGAGTGATGGGTAAATTTATAACGCCGCAACAATACTTTTATTTACCCAAGAACGTTAAGTATTACTTGGGGATTGAGAACGAGAGGGTGGATACACGAATCAACAAACTTGAAGATGACTTGGAGAAACTAAAAAGAGGTGTACTTAATGTTTTTGAAGTTGCAGGTTGCCAAGTAGGGGCATCATTGAAGATGTTGAAAAAGAACCACGGGATGCATCACTTGTAAGTCCTTGAAGACAATAATGAAAAATATATTTAAAGTATTTTCTTTTGCTACAAACTAACATATATACTATATTTTGGTAGGATAATTCATGTCTTCTTGCGGTTGAATTTGGTGCAAATGTAGTCGCTAAAGGAACCATAATGACGTATAGTGCATCGGGTATTTTTAAAATATTTGCATTATTACAATTTATATATTTTCATTTTTTAGAATATTGGATATTAATTATTTTTTTACGTTTATGTAATAGATGAAAACATTCAAGTTATGATGGAAACAATTTTACAATGAGAAGCTTTAATACCCATTCCACTTGAAGAGGATTTCATTGTGAAGGTCAAAGATGCACTGAGACACATACTAAGTTGGCCAAGACACTTAGTTATCCGATGCTCTGACCTGGTAATTTTCACAAATTTAAAAAATACAAAGTTTTCACACATTTGCCCTTGGTTTTTTTATTTTTTTGATATTTGAGTGAGTTCTTTTTCAGCTTCAGTAAATGATTCCTGTTTCATTCTGTATTTTTTATAATTTTTTGTAGGGAAAAGTGGTAGCGACACCTGTGAAAAAACATGCAACACCAGTGAAGGAAGGTGCAACACCTTTAAAAGAAGAAATAGGATGTAATAAGAAAGAAAAGCGGACATGAAATATGCTTGATGGAAAAAAAGAACCATATGATGTGGAAGAAGGGGATGATATGGAAGAAGGGGATGTAATAGAAAAGAAGATTAAAAGGAGAAACAAAATGTGACCTTGCAAAGAAGGTGGACCAAAGCACAGATGAAGAAAAGGATAATGATTGAGAAGAGTAGTATTTTGAAAATTACTGCAATATACTGTTGGCTTTTGAACATTCTAACACTCCTAAGTGTACATGCAACCCTAAATACCTTGGATCTATGTTTTCTCTATTATACATGCAATAAGAATATCCAAGGTATTATCCTAATCTAGCATACAAAACAATGAGTGTAACAAGATAGAATACATACCTCTTTGATGTAGAAAGTCTTCATGAAGCTTGAGTGCCTAGCCCCAATAGTGTGGAAGCCTCAAATGGAATCACAATCATCAAAACACTTAGAATAACTTGAGAGAGTTCTACACTTCATGAAATCGGCTAGCCCTCTCTAGAATAATACTAGTGGCCGATTTTTGTCAAGAATAAGATCTTTATATAGTGTTACAATTAGGGTAAATCCTTAATTGTCATGGCTTTCCATTTCCTTGGATCCATGGGTTCAAATACACCATGGAGCATCCATGGACCATCCTATGGGTTTTAGCCCAACTTGATTATCCATGGAGCATTAGCCCACTATATAAGTATGGATGATTTACACAATCAACCCATATATTTAATTAGTCTTCTTTTGATCACTTAATTAATCCTAGATTAATTCTTGATCAATACTAATTAAATAATCTTATTATTCTTATTATTAATACACTAGAACTTATAATATATTAATAACCATAAGTGTCTTATTTCTCTCATTATAGTCTATCCAAGTGCATGATGGTATGCAACCCAAATGGACCATGCCGGGTCGGGTCAAGTCTTACCAATTATAGTTATGGACTTAGACATTAATCCAACAGTCTCCCACTTGGATAAGTCTAAAACTATTATTGCGTATGACTTCAGGAACCAACTGGCAATCGTAGCTCTCAAAAGCTTCTGTCGAACTCTGACCTTGTAGATGAACTCTGATCTTGTCAATGACTTGTCCATTAGATAAGGGATCATATAATCCTCTGTTCTCATGATATCAGCCGGACAAATACATGGAACAACGTCGTACTTATTATCCAGCAGTTTGTTTCCCGATTTTCGATTTGTTTGACAAAGAACTTAATCGAACACATCAATTCAGTTCTGACCGGCCGGTACATAGGTCACAACAAAATCATCGAGGGGCCCAGATATCGCTTCTATTTCTAGAAGGAACAGATAAACTTCGACTCATATACTTGTTCTACTACTTGTTGAATTGTACACAAAGGCACGTTTTATAACATCAAGTTACTGATGCGTTTACGTGCAATCAATGCACAACCAACTCATAGGTAACAACTCATATCTCTAGGTTTGAAGATTTATATGATATTACCGTCTCACGATCACTCGAGATAAATTCCATGAAGTGATACAAGTGAGCGTGGGTTTATTCCAATACTCATAACTTATGAGCACTCATGAATGTTGTAGCAACCATTGCCATGACTAAACCCATTTAGCCATCTACAAACCCGATTCATGACAGTCTTGATTCATACCTACTTCCAACATATGAACGACTGTGGAGTGTTTAAATAACTTAGTCATTCGGAAAGAATAACCTAGCTATTTTGGAAGTCAAAACATGCAAAGTGAAACACAATAATAATCGAATCTAATATGGTCTCAGAACCCTTTTGAATATAAATAAAACCACTTTTTATTTATCACCATATTGATTACACATTATTCAATGTTTCAAATAATCAACTTAAGACTCGAATAAAACAACAGTCGTCCCATGCTCCTAGCATGTACACTTTGTTTTCTAAACAATAGTTATGCCATACCCCAAGTATGCACACTATGTTTGTCTATGATCCTTACATTGTGATGTAGATCAATTGAACATGATTCCAATGATACTCATTTCACAATCCCAAATCCTTATTGTAAATGCAAGAATTCCAAATTCATGTCATTTACTGAAATCTGTTAGATTCTAAACTTATATGCATTGATCCTCTTGTAATGATTATGCACGAAGTCAGAAAGACTTGACAACAACCATTACAGAGCATTCCAAAGGAGATCAGCTCCTTCGGAACATCCTTCTTGCATTAAGTTTCCTAATCTTACATAGATTGAATAACTTCCACCTATGGAGACATTTCCATAGTCCCATTTGACTATCACTTCCGAACAAGAGTTACCTCTTTTCAGAAAATGTCAATATGGTCCTACCAAAATTAACACTAGACTTCCAAATGTCCCTGAGCAACCAATCTTTGGCGAACCTCAGATTGTCCTCGACAATTGCTTAATCACTTTAGTCATATCCAGTTCTAGACTTTTCCCTTCTAAATGCCTTAAGCATTTGGAAAATTTAGAAAGGATGAATATTATAGCACGTGAAATCGATCCTATATCCGAAGCATATGGGACACGATTCATGATGTTTGACATAAAGACATGATACTAGACCAGTCTTTTGCTACAATATTTTTTATTTGCCATGTTTTCAAAATTTAACTATGAAGAGGGATGTCGTAATCATAATCGAATTTTGAAAACGCAATATATATAGAATTTCTTCAAGTTGAACCATTCCAACACAAAATTCATATATATTCTTGACTAAAGATGATTAAAATCTCAATCTAAGCTTTAGAATTGAAATGAAGTATAATTTCCTCTCCCTTAATTATAGCAAAACAACTTTTCAACCCCTGCAACTTCACGGATTGAAACTTTGTTTTCTATAATTAACATTGCTAGCTTGCAATACTAATCATAATAATCATGCTCCCACTAACATGATGATTATCAGCATAACACTTATGCTCCCACTAGCTCTGACATATTTTCAGAAATCTGCTGGACTTCTGAAATTTAGATTCATACATCCTTTCTTAGATAGCTCACATGTGTGTCTAAACAATTTTCAGAACTATGAAAAGGGATGTCGTAATCATAGTCTCAATTGCTTAGGCATTTGCCATTTCTCACAAGTCCATGTTAGTGTGCCGGTTAACCACACGCGCTCCACTAACGACTTTTGAAAATGCAAATAACACAATTACTATCTACGTAAAATCTACTTAGTGAAAGCGTTTCCTCACCATCATTTTCATGAATCGGAGAGAAACCTTATGACACTTAGATTTTATAGTGTATGAGTTCCTATCCATGCGAATTTGTCAAAACCATAATCACAAGATAAGGTTAGTGACAAATTTAGCCTTACATGGATTAAACTTATTCAATCTTACTTTCTTGTCACCATGGTAGCACAAGGCCCACCAATGCTTCCAAGTTGAACTCTGATAACTCACATGCAAATTCAACTTATTTGAAGTAGGTACAGAAATAATAATAATTATGTCAACACGTTAGGTTGCAAACCTTAAGTCGTGTGCTAGTGATAAATTACAGGTTTCACTCTTGATTAATTCTTGAAACTCTTTCAGGATCTTTAAGGCTCCCACTGTCCCCTTGACATATAAGTTTTTCCTAGTCAATAACCATTCCTTGACAAAACAAATATTCAAGGGATAGTGTGGATTCTTATCAAGACTAACACTTCACACAATTGGTCTTAGTTGGTCTTTGTCTCATCCAAGACATCACAACTTACCAATCTCAAATGTACAAGAGTAGAAAACATTTTACACTACATTTGATAAGTCTTTTAAACCTTACTTTATGTCACTCAATGTTACAATCTTGGAGTATGACTCTAAGAATTGTTTTGGAACGAAGTATGACTCATCTTCTTGATTTTAACCAATCCAACAATTCATGACCTCTCTTCTTAGCCATAACAATGCACTAAGACGTCCTTAGAGTATGAATTTGTGATATGGTTTCTAAATCATTAAGATGATCATAAAACTGATACTAAAGTACTCTCCCATCTTTTCATATTTGAGAAAACTTTTATCCCTTTGCCTAATTTGATTCTTCTTATTCGCTCTGCCATACATTGGAACCTTTCCAATGTTACTGAATTATACTTAACCTTATAAGTATAATCATATTTACTAATCTTTAGTAAATCATGACAAATCAATCTTTGTGGTGGACCTTGACCAGCGCACATCCAGTGTACCGGTTACCCACACACGCTCCACCAACGACTTGGTAAGGTACAAAGTGTGAATTCCATGGGCTAGCACCGAATTCACATTTTTCCTAAGGTAACTAAGATTGGGAATTATTAAGATTTTAGTTACTTTAGTATTTATCATTAATACTTTTAATGAAGGGAGAATTTAAAGTCATTGTCCTACCCGTTCGGCTAACGACCCTCCACCGATCAAGCAAGCGGTGGGTGAGCGTGGACACCCATTATGTCACCATTTTATAGGCAACAACCTTATACCCACCTTATAGACCGGTTTCGTGAATGAGGCCTACTAACGGTAAAACGACTTGTTCTTATACATATATATATAATAATTAACCATTAATGTTATAAATAGTATAAGTGTTGAATTTTAACTCTTTTAAAATTCTAAGGGCTAACTTGGAATTAAAGTATTCATAAGAGAAAACTTTTCGAATTCCAAAATTTGAGGGCAAGTTTTGAAACTATTCAAAACTAATTAATTCCATAACTTATGTGTTTAAAGTAGCTTTAATCCAAAAACTCTTCAAGTTCCATAACTTATGGAAGACTTTAAACAAATAAAAGAATTAACTTTTCTTTATTTTTATAACTTATGGAATTAATTAAGGTTACACTTTATTTATTTATTTATTTATTAATGAAGTGACTCTTGAATTTCCATAACTTGAGGACAAGTTATGGAGTCATAAAAAAAATTCAATGACACAAGACTCTTCATTTTGTAACCATTACCAATTTTTATGAGTTTTATGAGTCTTTAATGTGACTCTTCATGTAACTTGAGGACAAGTTACACAAACACATTTTATACTCAACTCTTAGATTAAAATGGATTGAAAACAACTATTTCAATTAACTTTTCTATTAATCTAAGCAACTCATAAGAACAAGATAATTCATATCAAACTTCTTCATGTAATTAGTCTAAACCTTAAACTAATACAAAACATGAATCTATTGACAATTATCTTTAAAAATGGATTAGCATGAACATTACCACATTAAAAAAAAGTTTATAAGTTCAAAAACAACGTAGGGTAATGTTCCTAGTCCATTTCTAGCCAAAACCTCGAAAATATGCTGTCTGGGGTCCAACTCGTCGAGTGCATGAACAAAACTCGGCGAGTTGGATGCATTTTGCCTTGGACTCGTCGAGTCCCTTCATGGACTCGGCGAGTCTGCTGGGCTGACAGCATCAAAACTCGATTTTTCAGCTCCATTTGCAAGTATAACAAGAAAACAAGCCTAGGCTCTGATACCACTGTTGGGTTTTGAGCATTCTAACACTCCTAAGTGTACATGCAACCCTAAATACCTTGGATCTATGTTTTCTCTATTATACATGCAATAAGAATATCCAAGGTATTATCCTAATCTAGCATACAAAACAATGAGTGTAACAAGATAGAATACATACCTCTTTGATGTAGAAAGTCTTCATGAAGCTTGAGTGCCTAGCCCCAATAGTGTGGAAGCCTCAAATGGAATCACAATCATCAAAACACTTAGAAAAGCTTGAGAGAGTTCTACACTTCATGAAATCGGCTAGCCCTCGCTAGAATAATACTAGTGGCCGATTTTTGTCAAGAATAAGATCTTTATATAGTGTTACAATTAGGGTAAATCCTTAATTGTCATGGCTTTCCATTTCCATGGATCCATGGGTTAAAATACACCATGGAGCATCCATGGACCATCCTATGGGTTTTAGCCCAACTTGATTATCCATGGAGCATTAGCCCACTATATAAGTATGGATGATTTACACAATCAACCCATATATTTAATTAGTCTTCTTTTGATCACTTAATTAATCCTAGATTAATTCTTGATCAATACTAATTAAATAATCTTATTATTCTTATTATTAATACACTAGAACTTATAATATATTAATAACCATAAGTGTCTTATTTCTCTCATTATAGTCTATCCAAGTGCATGATGGTATGTAACCCAAATGGACCATGCCGGGTCGGGTCAAGTCTTACCAATTATAGTTATGGACTTAGACATTAATCTAACATATACGATGTCTGATAGACAAGTTACAAAGGTTGATTCTATAAAAGTGCAGAGTGAGAGCGATCTTTTTTATGGGTACGATAGTTACACGTACTTAACATGGGTTGATTTTGAAGTGGTTCTTACAATGGATGAGCTGACTGGTGTTGTCATTGTGTCTTATATGATGTAAGTGCAACGATTTTAATTTAAATAACATTGTGTCTTAAAAAAATTTATTAATGAATTTAGTTTTTGATTGATAACAGGGTGTTGTTTAACAAAATGAAGTATCCCCCCCCCCCCCCGCCAAAAAAAAAGAGATTACGGAATTCGCTTTGTGAACCGACATTAATCTTGCCAAGTACGCATAAAGGGAAATCTAAGAATATTGATGATGCAAGCAGAGGTTTAGTAGATCAGTTATGCCCTAGTAGAAAGGGAAATGACATCATCTTTATGCCCTACAATCCCGGGTTTGATTTTGACATTTTATTATGAAAATGACTGACTTAATTTTGTTTGTGGATTTTGTAGAAGACATTGGGTGTTGGGTGTACTAGACATGAAATCAAATACTTGCTATTATCTTTATTCCTTGAGTTCTACCAATTTCAATATGCAGTTTTTGCAAATTGTTGATTCGTAAGTAATATAAATTATGAAAACATTTGATGTGAATACAATAAACACCTATTTTTAATGCTTTTATAGGGCAATAGTTATGTACGCTACACAAAGTGGATCCAACAAAAGGGTTAAAATGAATTGGGTTAATGTTACGGTCAGCACTTAATTCCTAATTGAAATTGCAGTTTTAGCTTTATTTTTTAGATCAATTGCAATGATCGTTTTATATGTAATTTGGTAGAGTCCAATTCAGCTTGGATCTACCGAATGTGGCTACTACATGCTAAGGTTCATGAAGGAGATAGTGGAAGAAGGAATTGAAGTGTTGGTCAAAGACAATGTAAGGATATAGCATTCTACTCTCATTACTATAATTTAATTGGAAATGAATTGAAAAAGGATCATTTTATGGCATCCTACTCTCATAATTATAATTGAAATATTAGGTTACATGCAAAAATAACAATGTGCTTTCATTCATTTGAAAGTACAATGTTGTATTAAGAAAGAATAATTTACATTTTATGCTTATATGTTAAATATAGCAACTTACTATTACAGAATATGTTAACACACTATTTTTATTAATAAAAACAATATGCAAATTTTTTCACAGCTCGGGGATGGCAAAGTTGAGTACACAATTGATGATATCGATGAGATACGTGAAGAATGGTTAGAGTTTGTTACAAGCCTCATTTATCGATGATATGTATGGACTTTTGACAATGTATCCGCAAAACAACGGTATGGTTAACAGTGAAATGGTATTTATGGTCTTGTGACATGTGGTGTAATGTTAGGTAGTCTTTTTACACGCATGTACATGTTTTTGTTAACTTTTAGTAATGTTACTTAGGTAACTTGACATGTAGTAGATAATTCAACATATATGTAACTTGTTTGACGTTTAGATGAAAATGAATGTGTTGGTATATATATATATATATATATATATATATATATATATATATATATATATATATATATATATATATATATATATATATATTATGTGTACTCACATTGTAAATGTGTATCATAAATGCACGTGGTAAAGGTGTATAGTCACTGGTATCTGGAATTTATGACATGCAAATGCGTGTCATCTTCGTTTATGACAATACATTTAATAATACGTATTGTGAGTCGCAAAGGCACGTCGTAATGTTATGACATGCATTGGCGTGTCGTCTTCCTTTATGACATGAGCTACCTTGATACACTTTGCATGTCATAAACACGCGCGTTGTAGGGTTACGACACACAAATGCGTGTCATCTTCCTTTATGACATGGCCTTCATTCATACGCATTGTGTGTCATAACTGCACATCGTAAATTCATGTCGTAAATGTGCATCATAAATGCATGTCGTAAATAGACGACGCGCAAAAACGTGTCGTCTCTTGTTATGACAGGGTCTTCCTAGACGTGCATTTGCACGTCGTTTGAGCATTTTACGACACGCATTGTGTCTCGTAAAAGGCTGTTTTCTAGTAGTGAATATGACCCAAAATCCAAGCATGGTTCACAAATTACCTTACATTGCAGATCTATAAGATATAACATTCAAAGGATACAGAGAAACGATAAAGTTGCAAACTTTATCTCTTATAACAACTCAAACCACTCCAAAATGACCAAAACACGCTCCAAAATCTAGATATATGAAAAAGAACAAAAAAGGTTGATGCTTGAGGACTTACAAGGAGTCCAGAAGATGTGCACAAATGAAGGAAATGATCACTTGTTGAACCAAGGCCCTAATTCTTCTTCATCATTCAAAACATCACAAGTTTACTAAAATGAGCACAAGAGAACCAATAAGGATTAGGGTTAGGGTTATTGGGGTTTGAGAGTGATAGAGGTTAAGAATGAACAACCCTAGCCAACCATTTTCCTTTAAATACCCCACAAATTAGGGTTTAAGACGCCAGGGATGACCTGCTTTGTGATCTTTACTTGCCACATCGTGAAGATTCCAAAGACCCCCATGACCAAAAATGCATCCCCATGGTGTGACAACAGTCAATTTCGAGTCGAATCAAAGTCAAACAAATTCAACGCGTCAACCTGGACGACTCAATTAACCCTTTTATATTAGGGTTTACATTATGTAATTACTAAACAACTCGCTCTTGTAATGAGAAAACATCATTTGGAAAATTTGTGTGTTAAATTTTCCTTAGCCTTGATAGTGCTAAACAATGAACCAAAGAGATAAAAACACTATTGCACACTCATCGTGAGTGTGTAGGACACTAAAACATGGCTTAATGAGGTTTACGGACCTTGCATTGCAAAGACGGATGCTCAATAAGGTCATAAATGGAATCTCCCTATATCGTTTTCATTCTATCTCTTTCTACTTCAAATCTCTCCCAAGTCTCTCCCAAATCTCTCTCAAAAGTTCTTGTAACTTTTTGAAATCATTCGGGTCATCCTGACCCTTAACCGGGTCAAAAATCGCTTAAAACGAGGTTAGAATAAGTAAAATACCCCAAAAGACCCGAAACCCTCTTGGACCGAAAGCAGCGAGAACCGAGGCTCTTGGGTAGCCGCAGCCACCGAGCCGAAGCCCAGAGCCGCAGCCGTCAAGCCCACAGCCACCAAGCCCGGAGCTACTGAACCCAGAACCGAGCCCCCGCTTCGATCTTGCCTGTGGACCGCAGCCTCCCTTCTCCCTCGGATCCGCACCAAAAGCCCAGCCACTTTGGTTTTAGGCGGCTGAGGCTGAGACCCCGCCCAGACTTCGGATTTTTCCATCTTTTAACCGGTTTTCAACCACGAATCAGTTTTAAGCCCGTTTTTAATTATTTTAACGGGGGATTTTCACCCAAAAATTTATTTTAACATATTAAGATGCATATGTTTTAATTAATCACATTTTTAATGCAAATCTTATCCAAGATTTAGTGGTTGGAGTAATTAAGGTGTAGTGTTGATCTTGTTTTACTTTATAACACAAGCAACCACCCCCCTCACCCACTCTATGGCCAGCCACTCCTCCCACCCTACCTTGGTCATGTCAAGGTACTTTCTCATCATTTTTCCAACCATTCCCACATTTTAGAGCTGGAAAAACTCCCTCCCTCTCTCTCTCTCTCTCTCTCTCTCTCTCTCTCTCTCTCCTCATTCTCACATACTTCTCTCATTTCCACCAAAGATCAAATCCACTTTTCTCTCAAATTCTCTCACACCAATTCGAGATTTCCAAGGCATTTTCCAGCTTTTCTCCTTCATTTTTTAAGTATCATCACCCTCTATATGGTTATTAGATTTCCTTTTACTCAAATCATTGATTCCTTGCACAAATTCCGTCCCTTGGTGTTAGATTCTCGAAAATCATCAAGGCATCTTCAAGTGTTCTTGAGTGGAACACTTCTCTTGTCCAATACTCACCCACTGAAATCACACAAGGTGAGTTCATACCCCTACATTTTCATGTTTTCTTAAGTTTTAAGGGGGGTAATATAAGTTAAAACACCAAGAACGCCACTACGTTCTTCTAACAGCTTTCATCAGAAACGCTGTGCTCCATTCACGGACAGTTTTCATCAACTTAAACATTTTAGTGTTGAAAAATGTTTTAGGTTAAAGTAGTTCCAGTTCTTATCTTTAAAATGGTTACATGCACATCCCCATACAATTTTTCTACAATTTATGGTGATTCTTACAAAACTGTCTATCATTTCGAGAACCAATCCGGACCAGTCTGTGATTATGGACGTTTTCACACATGTTGGAGACCACTAAAAATCTTGAGAAAATTTATGAACAAACTAGACACGTTTTCCAAACTCCTAGAATTTACGGATTCTGATTTGGATCTGTTATGAATTTTATATAAATTTTCTAAGAACAGTAATAGAAAATGTTTACAACAGAAAAACGCTATCAATTTTATTTCACCTTGTAACATGTCGGGCAAGGTGTATATCTCTATGTGAATATATGTTATTGCAAATAAATGACATTTTGTGTTAGTATATAGACATGCATCAGTTAACAAATGGATTTTGATATATAGAACATAGAAGATAACAAATTGTTATAATCAAAGTACATCCATTACATACAAGCATTTGAATAAACTATAATAGGTATAGTTTATGTACATTACCACTAATTCCCTTGCTTTGATAAACTATAATAGGTATAGTTTATGATACATTACATAACACACTCATACAAAAAGGGTACATTTATACAAAAGGGATTTTCATTACATTACACGTAAAATCGTTAATGACTTTGTGAGACATTCGCTTCAATTTACCAATAAGTCCTATATTGTAACCAGAGTCTCCTGGAGGTAGAGCGTGATAGTTGTATATAGATCTATATTGTGTTTGACAAACCCACATCTTAACTGCATTGAACAGTTAGACCGGCAGGTCTGGGGTGACAAATGTCATAACATTTCCGACGCCTGAAGAACGTCATTTCAAGTCAACTAGGTCATAGCATGGTTATAATAACTCACATTAAGTATTAACAACATAGGTATTTACGGGAATTTCATTGAAATTAAAAGAGTTTTTGTCGATTTAAACTTGCATTATTTAATATAAGTAAGAAAGGTTACTTATACATTTTGGTCTCTGGATATAAGACCACATTATACATTTTAAGGAAAATATCGGAGTTTTCTGGAACATACATTACATTTACAAGAGAAAGCCTTTTATCAATTCAAAAGAAAAGATTATGAACTCACAAACCTTTATATTGACACTTTTTCAAACAAATTGTATTCTCAGGAAATCACTAAACAGGTAACCAAGTGCATTTTGAGGATGACCCGTTAAGGCGTCAAACATTTCACATTTTATCCACATATTGTAATTCATTTGGAAACATGTAATTCATACAATGATGTAAATCTTTCAATTATATATATGTGGGTTGTGTTTTCTTGAATTACTATTTCAATTGTGGTTATGATATTATACATGAAGTCCTCCACCCCCGGACGTTTCCGCCATCCTTGTTTTGGGGGTGTTACACACGGCGTGTGTCACACCCGCAAACCGGAATGGCGGAAACGTTCGGGGAAAGAGGACTTCATGTACAATATCATCAAAAATAAATAATAGTAATCCAAGAAACAACAACCATTGTATTGATAATAGAGTGTTTACATTGTATTTGAATTACAGATGATTGATTTCAAAAGTAAATAGCAAAAACTAAGACTTGAAGCGATTATACTCCCTCTTTTCGAAACTTGTGTGTGTACCTATCCATTGGTTCCTTGAGAATACAAGTGGTTTTGAAAGTGTATCAGCATTTAAGTTGGTGAGTTCATAAGCACTTTTGTATTTGAAAATATGTTCTTTGTTCCTTGAAAACGTTAGTGTGTTTCTTAAGAAAATTCAATATTTTCTTAGTAGATAATTTGTAAGTAAGGTGACCCATACCAGTTTCTTCAACAATCAATTAATGAATATGAGTTATATAAAATCCAGATCGATCAGACAGTCGAATGTATGGTTCTGCCCTAACCCCACAACCAAACAAGGGACAAGAAGTAAGGCGAAAGTCACACATTCCACTACTTATCATGTCTTCATAGTGTATAACCCTAACATACTCACTAGGTAATCATAGAGTTAACAAAAATGGTCCTTTTTCAAATGTAATTTACTATGTACTAGAAAAGTAGTATAATGTAGTTGTAATTGTATGCAACCCTTATGTATGT